GAAAAGGTATTCAATCAAAAATAAATTTGCATAATTTTCGTAGGGTCAAATGGACCTATTGATGATTTTTTCTAGTGTCGTTTTGATGCATCGAAAAGGTGTTATGCTGTTTGCATTGTATTAAATTAATAATATGACGTTCTGGGGTGATTTTTTGAGAAATCTCAGCAAGATTTCTGTTTGTTAAATATCTATCCCAACATGTCCGGCTCTTTTATAAAGCGTAACCGTAGCGACAGTTAAAGAAACTATTTATTGTTTTTATCAATGATGTTCATTATAATTTAATAACGATACGTTGCTTATTATGTATATATTCGTTTATATCCATTCCTAATTTACCTAATCTTGCCTGAATTCGTAATTTGGACAAACATTAATTTCCTCATATTTCAAGTAAATTTGTCTTAATTCAGACAATAAAAAAGTATTTAATCTTCATCATTTTATCTGACTTTGAATCAGATGATTGTAGCTCAGGCCGATTTCCTTTATTTTTTTTTTTCAAATTATTTTCGAAAATATCATCAAGAATGTAAAAACTATAGTATTTGTTTTAAGTCTTATTCCGTTTTTATTGGCGATTTGAGTTCAGTTTGGAGATTAAAATTATATATTTTATAAGTTAATTAATTATAATTATATTAATAATTAGCAGTGATCTAGATTTTCCATTTTATAAATTTGTAATCTCGAAGATTTAATGAAGGTACAATTCACGATTTATTTAATTTAGCTAGAAAAGTATTTTTATCTGGGTGGTATTGATAGTTCAGTTATAGATATTCCGCACTGAGCTGGCGTGAGGCGAGATGATCCATTTTCCCTTTTCAAGTTAAGGCTTAAAATAATGTAATTTAAAAAATAATTATCATATATAACTTATAATATTTTTGTATATGTTTGGAAAACTAACTTATACAAAAAAAATTGCATGGCATAATGTGTCAGATTACTTTGCCTTTCTAAGAAATATAGACTTAATTCACTTTGATTGTTTATGAACGAAGAGAAGTCATTCAATTACCGGCTAATGACAAGATATAATCACATTCTTATAGACGTAGGGGACGTTATACACATTAGTCCAATGCTAATAGATAATAATAAATAAAACCTATTTGCTAAGGTGACTTACGACATGTGTAGAATGAGCATTAATTAAATTAATCAAATGAGTGCGCCCATACTGCCTAACTCCTTAGCCATGACTCTAGAGCCTTTGGCGAAATTTTGTATCACAAATTAGCCATGTATTTTTGAAAGATCAACGTCTATGTTGGTAACACTGCTGTCAAAGCCATAATCATTATTCTTTGTCAATCATTCCTCATTTTGTTAAGTAAATGTCTAATAATTAAAAAAAAAAAGAAATATCGATATCATATCCTATAGCTAGAGTCATGGTTAGGGTGTTAAGGGGGTCGCATTCGTATGGAAGTTAGGAGGATATAATATAAGGAGGCAATAAAAAATAAAATATAATAATTAATTTAGTCTTTAATGAATAAAACTTTTTTTTGTTAAGTTTAACTTATTAGAATTAATACAATCAATCTGATATTATATTTTAAGCTTTTAAAGGACAATTAGTAAGTTTTTTCGAACTTATATAACTTTACATGGTACTTAAATTCTCTTTCATTTATTAACTTATTCATTTCATAGATTACTTAGGTGATAAAAGTTGTCGTAGAGTTATGGGAGGAAAGTACTACTTTCTGCTGGACCTGGAAATAAAAAAAAATAAACAAAAGATTAGTACATTATATAGAACGACAGTAAACAAGAGAGTATTATCAGTATCATCTCTTTCGAGTTTAAGAATGGTACTCTCATGTTTATAAAAATTTGAGAAAGTTAACCATGTATGATGGAGCAGGTGAGGAAGTTTTCAAAATAGGCCCAATAGTTTCGGATGAAAACAAATAATTAAATATTTCCTTTAGTATACATATGCGACCATTTACCCCCAGTACAAATTTTACTTATCTATTTGAATCCAATAGTGTCATAATAATTTCAAGGTTTTTACGGTCAATAAAAATTAATAGATTGAATATTATCATTTATCTACCGATCTCAAATTAACTACAAACGTGTATGGGTAATAGAAATAGAATTTCTCATACTCCATTTAACACCTTATAACTTTGATAATAAAATTCACATCCGATTTCAGTTTGAAAAAAAAGTGTACTATTTGAACAGTTTTGTAAAACTTAACATACAGTTGACTACATAAAAAAAAACTTAAATAAGGTAATCACAAATTAAAAGAAAATAGCGTTGATAAAGCTCCGTTTATTCACAGTAACTTTTTGATGTGGTTCCTTTATAAACACAAAAGGATCTTGTAGAGGTTTAAACGTCGCGTCATATTGACTTCTACACGAACCATTACTCGACACAAAAACCACTGCAAAATCCACTCCTTCAGTCTAACGCCAACCCCTACTTCTAAATGAACCACTACCCAAAATTAGACTATGGTTCAGGCGTAGGTATTCGGGTTCGTATAGACGTAATGTTACTCTCTTATGGAAAAAAATAATATAAAACAATTTGTTAGAGAGCTTCATTAAACTTTTTTAATAATTACATTTAACATATTAAAAGAAAAATAAATAAATGTTAAATAACGTCAAATAGAATGCTGCTGCGAATGTTCAAATGTAAAGAACATTTAAAGAGTAACAAAATTTGTTATTATTCTAATTATTATACTAATACGAATGTTCCGTTGAAATTAATTATATAAAATTTAAAAAAAAACTTACTATTTAACGTTATTAGGTGAAAAAATTGTGCTTAATTTTTTGTGACTAAACCTACTACGATATGAACCATGGTTCAAACATTATCAATTTGGCTTCGCTCATTTATTGCTAATTTATTTTCATGAGACACAATATTCATACTATTGCAACTCAAAAAATAAGAAAGCCCATAAAAAATGTAGTAACATCGGTTTTTAATTGAAAAATTAAATGTTATAAATATGTACATTAATAATTCTTATTAATATTCAAATGTAAAGAACATTGAAATAACCACAAAAATTGTTATTACTCTAATGTTTTGTAGAAATAAATTATGCACAATTAAAAATATATATTTTCGACGTTATACTACGATAGGTACCCATGGTTCAAACATCATCAATTTGGCTTCAACTATTTATTGCCATTTTAATTCATGAGTCACAATCTTCATACTTTTCCAACTACAAAAAATGAGAAAGTCAATAATAAAAGTAGTTGAGGTTTTTATTCGAAATTAAATCTTCTAATTACATACGATTATAATGTAAAAGTTAAAAGAATAAAAGAATACGTCGAATGTAGAATTCCATTTTCAAATATCAAGTTGACGCGAAGTAGTCTGATAAAATAATATCCTAAATTGCATTCTTTTTTCAAATTAAACAGTTTGTTATGGAAAGGCGCGTCTCATCATTGGATCGTGCGTGTTCACACACCGCGACCAAAGAATGGTAGTCACTCCCATACAGTTAAACCACGCCTGTGTTACGTCATTATACTTACTGTAATTGTCTCGTATCACCTATAATGATTTCAAGATAAATACGTCACGTCATTGTTTTGCCTCCGCCTATACGCGAATCGTTAGTTGCGAATAATTAAAAATGATTTATTTCTAAACAAAGGACTTTAATGCAGTAAAAAAATTAATTTAAAAAATTCTGAGAATTATAAAATTATAACAAACGTTTTAAAATTAAAGTGTAGTCTTTAGAAAGTTTGTTTGAAAGAATCTTCATACATTTTTTATATTACGCTACGAGATTCGTAGAACGTTACGCCATCTGTTGAGGGGTAGAAAAGTTTCACGGTCACTGTCTCAGTCGTACACGTACAAGTTAACATTTGTGGCTTAGACATGAACCTTTGAAGATTTTGAAGTTAAAGAAAAATGTTCAACTGAAATCACAACATCCAATTTTACTTTGTTAACGGTATCGTTTTGTTATTTAAACTCTTTAAAGTTGGACAGTTGGGCATTTATAATACGAACATGAAATTTTATGAAACAACTTTTGAAATATTCCACAACAACACAGAGTTCAAAGTTTAGGTAAAGTAACACGAAAAACCACATTAAACACCGTTGGCTATTTCCCCATAAGCTAAGCCACGCCTGAATAAAAAAAAAACGGATAATAATAAAAGAGGCGTAACGAAAAGAAATCCCTTAAAAATTCGCATGAAACAACGCTACACAAACAGCCCTATGCACGAGCGAGACAAACGCCACTAAGAAAAAAATCACAAAGAAACCCATTCTTTTCCATTTCCTCCCTCGATTAGAAAAAATGGGAAGCTCTATCTGTCCCTTTCTACCGCATAAGGGTGAGCTGCGAAAGAGGTCGAGCGAGCGAGAGGGGCGCCCACCCCGCACGTCCTTCGCGCCCTTTTTAATAGTTCTTATTGCGGCCGTGGTCCGAACGGTCCGTCACGCGTTTTTGGGAAATGTCCGAGTGTCCGGGGCGAGGGGCGGGGAGGGCACACTCGGCGGGCGCCGGCCGCCGGACGCGCCGTCTTTTCCTTGACCGGACACATTTTTCCGCGGAAAAAACGCTGGGCGCGTGCGCCCCGCATCGGTGGGGATGTTCTTGAGGACGTCTAAGGCGGCGGGGGCGGCACCGCATCTTGCTAGTTGGTGTGGCGTCTTCGCCTGGCGCGCGCGTCCGCCCCACCCCGCAAGAAAGCGTCGCGACGCTAAGTTTTCCACCAAGAAGTTAGTCGTCGCCCGCCCGCGTCTCAAGGAGGTCCGCTTCCGCTTTCCCTCTTAAACATTTTCCGGGGTGACTTTTCACGACTAATAATAATCAACACTCAACTTTACGAAAGTTGTAAACGGTGCGCGTTTAAAACAACATCTTGCATTCCAGATTCGTGGTGGCGAAGCGGGGAGTGAAATAACAACGCGAGATATCGCATGAATCGGTTGTGACGATACGCTTGAAGCTGGAATTAATGTTGAAATACTTCAATGAGAATATATCCCTAGCGCTGCAGGAGAGGTATAGGGACCTCCATGAGTATCGAAAGACGGAAGCGGTAGAGGAAGGGTCACCGAGGGAGGCGAAAGTTCCGAAAATAGCTGAGGAAGGGGAGCAGATCGGCGGCGAAGGCGCCTTCGAGCCGAGCGCCGCGCCGCCGTACCCGAGGCTCCTGGAACCGCCTAAGGAGGAAGACAGTTTCGTTGCGAGTTGGCTTCAGAACTCATTTAAGATGACTGCCGCGGAAGGCAATGACTCTGCAGCCGCTGCGAGTGCTTTAGACCTAAGAGCAGCGCCGTTGTCCCTACAAATTCCTGCAGCGCTACAGCAGGCGGCCGAAGCGCAGCGGTTCAAAATGCAGGACTTCTGGTCCCGCAGCCGACCGAGCTCGCCGGCCCAGGAGCCGATGGAGGCCCACAGTCAGCCTGGCCCAGCACCACCTACGCCTCAGCCACCTGCAACGCCTGATCATAAGATTATGACCGAGAAACTTGTCAATGAAATTCAGGTGAGTTTACATTTTTTTTCAATTCGTAGGTGTTATTATGGTGTTAAATTTACGATAGTGATACGTAAATGCAATAAATTTAAATTGAATTAAAAATAAAAATCAAATCAAATTTATGGCAGTTTGGAAATTTGCTAGTGATAATCGACTTCATTCTTAGCCGACGGCTACTTACATTAAAAACACAAATTACTTACCGATTCAGAAGTGAAATAGATTTCGTTATTTAAAAAAAAATTCATTGCTAAATTCTTAGTGAAACGATAACTAATTTTCCACTCACTAACAAGTCCAATATAATTATTAAAATAATTCCGTGAAATGACCGTCTAACTTTTTGTTTGTACACATGAAGTAAAAGTTAAAATCAACGTGTATCGTCTCCAATGATTCTTGATCAACTGACCTCAACACAATAGGTATTATAAAACGGGGTCTCAGACAAAACTCGTTCCAAATTTGAATGATCCCTCCTTCCTCAAAAAAAAAAACACAAGAAGCCAAGGCAACATATTGTAAAGCTTTTGTTAACCCAAGAAAGGGTTAAAGGCCTTGGAGTCAAACTTATTATTAAATCGTTTTTGTCCTTATGTCGCATCCGGTTTCACAAAGGATATGTAAATTACGATAATCTGTGATAATTCTATTATTTCTGTATTAGCCTGTGATCAACTTGTCGACGGCGTTTTCGATTTCGTTTCTTTTATTCGATAGCATGGCATAAATATTTGTTTTGAGCATATGGCTTATGATTATTATTTTATTGGTGACGTTCCGGCTGACGTATATTTTTATTTCGGGGTGATGTTTATTTTCTTTTTCCGCTACTACATAATTTGGTAATAACTGACCAAACGTTTTCAAGAAATGAAAAAAAAAGTATTGTAATTGTTCCAAATGAAATTAAAACGACTGGAATAGAATGTCAGTTTTTAATTCAAATATTAAAAACAGAAGACGAAAGAATATTACTTTTTAAATTAGTTTCGGATTCGCTCACCTTGCATTTGTCTATTTCCCACGGCACGGCGGATTAAGGGTTCATTGTGATTTTATATTTTTAATTTTTTTTTCCTGCGCTTTGTTTCACAGAAGGGGTGTTGACAGTTATTTGTTGCTACGAATCTGTTCTCGTTTTGATGATTTTTTGTTTTAGTTAGGAACCGGTTCCGGTACCCCGTTCATATTTCGCATTCATATTATTTTTTTCTCTTAAAATAGAAATTTAACGGTTCGTCGCTCTGAAGTGTTGCTCTTTTGTGGTTAGATTTTTTTTAAATAATGCTTAATTAAAATTTGATGAATGTTTTCCCCGTTTCAAGTGTCGACTTTTGAAATAAAGGAAGGATACAGTTTGAAATTGAATATTTATTTAGTACGAGCGCACAATATTTTTAGTATCATAGAAAATTTCGTTAATGCTAAATATGAAGGAAAAATAAATTTATAAAGTTTATAGATCTTAGGATATGTGAAACTTATGCGAGGACAAAAACTGATTGTCGCTCTGTCTCTTCTTTTCACGCCTTCTCGTCGTACGTTGGAACGGGACAGCAACAACAGCAATCACCATCCGCCGACTCTACGATGAGCGAGAGGTCACTCGTACCGTTTGCCCTGGTAAATTTACTGTCTTCACTCAATAATATTGATGTAAATACTATTTCACTATCTCGATGTCTTGCAACGTGTGTTTTTATTTTTCTTTTAATTTCATATGAAAACTTTTTGCTTCAGTATCAAACTTTTCTTTTTCGAATGCTCTATTTTTTTTATAAAGTATATGCACCTTTTTTAAATGTTTGTAGTTTTTCAGTAAATAGGTTTAATTAACATCTGATACATTTATTAATGAAAAATGCTTAAATATCCACATTGCCCCGGCATTCAGAGATGGGACTTGAATTGCGAAAAGTCGTGGGTTAGAGTCCCATCTCAGTGTCAGGGACAAAGTAGATTTTTAAGCCTTTTTCATTAAGAATATTTTTCAAATTAGCATTGTGAATGGAAAATTGATCATAAATAATCTGATACTTAGTACAATATGGTTAAGCGGGCGCTAGCTATTGAATAACACTTATATCCAGTTGAATATGAATAAAATAAATAAAGTCCAAGTTAATTTCAAATTAATAAAGAGCGGTAAGAGTGAAATTAATACATTTACAAAGGTTTCTCTATAAACAAATTAGGTAATTACCTCTAAAATGTTACAGATATTTTTTATGGCATGACAATCTGTAAATGCTTTGATCGCTTTGAGCCGATACCTGATATCGTTCTATTTTAAAGAAAATAATTAAATACAAACAAAAGCATTCGAATGGTTTATTTTATTTCTCTATCTTACGACTTAGCGTTTACAGTCATTAACCTTTAATCGTGTAAAATTTCTTAAACATGATTATTGTTTTTTTTTTGTTTCTTAAGGTTTGTCTTAAGTTAAAGAAATTACAATCATAAATTTGAACGACACCTTTCGACGGTGTAGTCTACCTATTAATCTTACTTAATCACTCGGGTTAATAAAAGATTCATTACTACTTAATACGTAATAACGTGTGATACATAAACAAAATAATACCACATTAAAATCATAATTGCGAAAAATATCTGATTAAATCTTTACTATATGTGACAAACAAGTATGATAAAAGAGGAAAAGTTAATATATAAATTGTATTTAAAAACATACACTATATAACTGAATTAAATAATGGTATAAATGTTGATGTTATTTTAATGATAGTGCAACACAAAACATATATTTTATAATTTCTAATCCACTACATATCTTCGAAACAAAGTATAAAACGTTTTTCGAAGGACCAAATTTAAAATCGCCGTTCCAATTTTGAAAATTGATTGTTACCAATGTATCTGTATCCGCAAATGCGGTCACAAAATAAACGGTTAGGGTATCGTTAATCGTATTTTCGTTCGAAAACCGCAATTTTTTCGATTCCTCGCCGATATTCAAGCGCTTCATTGGTCGATGGAACCGGCACGTGGATTACGGAGATTTCTATTATACATTAGAAAGAACACGCATTGGGGTAATCACTATTAGTCAGTGGTCCGCATGCGGGGTGAAAAGCACTTGTTAATGTCGAAATATTATCCCATATAGATTCGCTTGAAGTGTATATAACAAGGCGCGGATGGAAACACCTAGAAAATTTCTGATCACAGTTCTAACCTAACCAAGTATTGTTTGCCGTGTTCTATTCGACAAAATCAAAAATAGGAGAATAAAAATGAAAAAAAAAATGTCTTTTTTTATCAATCCCAAATCAAAGACGGGAGATCTTGTACAGAAAAATCGTCATAAACGCACTTCTTTTTTCTAGTTGAAAAATGAGTTTCATTAGAGTATTAATAGAACTTACCTACCAAAATTATTTATTTAAAGGAGATCTTTCAAATTAAAGAATTTTTCCATACTCCTTTCTATTTTGACTGTGGTAGAATATATTATAATTCTTAAAGATATTATGTATATGTATCTCGTACAAAGCGCCTGTGTCCACGTGACACCTGAGGTGTTATTCTATTTGTGTTATTCTAAAATTGGGGAAATATCAAATTGTTCTTAAAATTTTGTCAAAACTTTATCCTCGAAGATTACTATCAGAGACATCCGGATCCGACACCTACCTCCGCTTCATCAAAAATCATCAAAATATGCGCTTCTTTAGAGTCGTATTAGCATTTCGAAAGGAGACGAAATTTCATTTATTACATTTGATCAATATGCATTCACAATGTTATACTGAAATATATCCTTAATGCAAATGCTTAGAAAGTTCACTTTCTTTTATTTACAAAACCAATTAAAATAATATATTTGGTGTATGCGGTCTTTTAACTTGCATTAATTGAACCGCGGTTAGACCTGCATGAGATATATCGACCAAATCATCGACTGATGAAAACGAGCCATTCGGATAATTAACCGTTTGTCTCTCTCACGCAGCCACAGCAGTCACCGACGGGGGACGGTCCAGTCGGCGATCGCAACACAATGTTGCCATTCGCTTTGGTAAATTTCCTGAATAGCCTCAATATTGATGTAATTATAATTATTTTCTCTCTTCCTCTATTTGTACAGGCGATAGCGCGTTAGTTTATACATTTTATCTTTAACTTGATTTTTAAATTTTAATACGTTTAATGTAGAGTTCAAAATCGATTGATGTTATTTATATGTTATGGTACGCCTGATGCGCTGCTGTGTGTACATGAGTCTTTATCTGTGAATTTGTATTGTCTTTGTAGTTTATAGTTGATGGCATTATTTATTTTGAATTAATATTATTAATTTCTTTTTGAATCACTTGTTACTATATCGGTAAAATAAATTTGAAATGAAAAAAAAATGTCATGAGAAAACACCGATTCCATAGAGTTCGGTTCTCTCCAATAAAAATACCATTTTCATAGGTAAAGACGTTATAGTTAGGGATACTCATTCATATTTACTAAAAGTATAACCTTACCTAACCTACCTCATCACTAGGAAAATCTTATAGAATTATGAGTTATAATAATATTGGGCCTAGAGTAGTTTGTATCCACCAATCTCCATAACTACAAGTGTGTTTTGAAACATGATTTTTTTGCATTTAAAGTTCCAATTCTTATCGAAGGATTAGAGTTATATTACAAGACAGTTTATTATTCAAATGGCGATGAAAACACAAGAAATTGCTAGCTTATAAATTTCGCACGCTATGATATGGAATCCTTCCACTTTTGTCAATAGAACTCACTTAACATTATCTGATCGTTACAATAAAAAGTATGCCTATGGTTTTTATAATAAGTTTGTTTCGTATCATAAAAAATCAATGGGAAATAAACTCTTTAGTCAATAACCTCAACACGAATGAAATTACACCTTATCTCAATAGAATAACGCATTTATTATCTTACATCTAAGATATGTTAGGTAGTCCAATTAATATTAAGTACCTTTGAAACTGAATGAGTTTCCCGAACTGTACTAATTTCAAACGATAGTGGGCTTTATTCTTATAATGTGTAGGTTACTGTTCGCATGTTAGTTATCTACTAGTAGTGATTTATATTAATTTTATTTTTAATAATGGATTAAAACTCACTGTTTTACGTAAATGTGAAATACAAAATGTCTCAGATGATTTTCTTTAAATGTTAAAATGTGTAAATATGAATATAGCATTTACTAACACATGAGTTGAATGTCTCAATATTTCCTTCTTCTTAACTAACTTTTAAATTAACCTTTTTGTAAGATGATGCTGATTTAAAAATCTTTAGCCCAGAGCTAAGCGTCAATTTATGAAAAGTTTTATTTTTTAAGTGTCAACTGTTGCTTACTGGCATCCTACTAAAATACGGTTTCTTTCCATACAGCAACAAGCACGATCCGGACAGAGCATCAGTGAGCGAACGCTGGAAGAGTGCTGGTCGACACTTCAGCGAGTGAGTTGGCATCTGTTTCAATGCGTATTGTTATCTTCCAAACACAACGGGGACCGTGGAAGTCGCCGCGTTCGATTTTCAAAAACTTCAAGATTTTCTTATTTTATTTATTCCCTATAAAAGACCACAAAGGTTAAATATGAATTAAATATGACCAATAAGGTTAGATATGAAGTTTAAAAAAATGCGGCGGCTACTATACGTACCCGAAAAGTGGGGTATTGGTTAACAGCCAATGTCTCGTATTATTAATATTTTAAGGTGAGTTTTATTATTACTATATGGATAATTCTCACGTCTTTCAACTTCATCGCGCATGGGTAGTTGTTTAAATCAAGATTTTATCAAATACGTACCTGCGGGTGGCAAAGGAAACACTTCGGATCAGCCGATAAGGACTTTTTCTTCACAGGAACTATAATGTATCTAGGCAATCTATAAATTGCATATTCATTACTGCGGAAACATTTTCGCATAGAACCGATTAAGATTAAAAAAATACGGTTTACGATAAAACGCCGGGGGGTGTGTTAACAATTTATTTAATCGAGATACGAGGTTTTTTTTCTTTTAAAGCAAAGGCATTAACCATCTGCGTATACAAGGTGGCGTATGCAGACATACACTACCATCCAGGAAGTACTCTGTACTTTCTGTAATGTTATTTTTAACATCTGCATTTGTTAGGGTTTGCACAACCGAATTCAAATGATTTAGAGAACAGTACAAATTCGTTTATATATAAAATAAGTGAATTATAATAAGCTGAAAATACCGAGTATTACTTTTAGAACTGTCGCAAAATGTCGCAATAAAAATGTATATATGATGAACATATTAATAAAAAAAATTAGGTATGCAAGTAAAAATTTATATTAAAAATAAACACAAATAATAATATGACATCAAATTTCTAATAAAAACAAAAGAATAATTCGTAAATGTAGTAATAACAAGAAATGTAACGAAATCTACATACAGAAAACGTTATAAATACGAGAGCTAACCCCCAAATGAAACGGAAAAGCATGTTCGGGCAAAATAAAAACTTTACTCTTTTTTCGAATCAAGCACTTGATCTTTTGAAGTGAACGTCAGAACAGGAGTTGTATGGAGATGATTTATTTTAATGCTATAAATAGAATTTAAATATATACCTTTGGATCATCCAAGCCATTGTTTTCGGTTTTATGATTTTTAACAAAAATCTAGACTCTAGAAAGGGAATATTAAATACAGAAATTTTAAATTTTGGTAACATACTCTTTTAGACTTATTGTACTTAGGAATTCAAATAACATATATTATAGAAATATGGCATTAAATGTAAGCTATATAATCTTCATTTGACATCTCTACGGCTTCGGTGTTCCTAACAAAAGTACATGATACGGGTTGTCGAAAAAAATCTCCGACATTTGCATGTCGATCGCAATGAATTTATCGTTATTGCTTCGAGATTTATTAGGTTGCCGCTTCCCGAAAAAATCCGACCGAAATGACCGCGTTCCAAATTTAAAATTCAAATCGCAATTGTTTTCCCGTTCAAAATTGAGACGATTTTGACGTCCGCCTTTCGCCCGAGACATGTGTTCCTACTTTTTATTTTAAAGTTTCGTTTTACTGGCCACTTTTTTAGTTTAAACCTTTTTTATGTGTTCAATATTTTTTGCTATAGTAAATCAATTGTGTTGTCTTATTTCGGCGATGCGGTCTCTGTTATAAATATTGCTACAAAAATGTTTTTAATGATGAACTGAGTTGTGTAAAATGTTGTTGAGTATTTTATAGCCTGCGCTTAGATTCAGTTGTTTTTTGTAAATGTCGACTGACGCTGAATACTTTTACCGAATGCTTTATTTTCTTCACTTTTTTTTCGCGAAAGAGTGGCAGATATAACCGAATTGTTTTTTTTAGACAAACCCGACAGTAACATCTTGTTACAAGTAGATGGAATGAGGGGGCAGTGCGGTAATTATGAAAAGTGTCTTTAGGGGGAAGGAAAAATGGTCCGGGGTGAGGACATTTAAAAAAAGTGGCTTAATGACCAAAAGGCTTTCGATCTTAATAGGTTTGAAAAGATAGTCTTGCAATCTTTCGTTCCTTCGCAGCATGTTTTAACGCAAGGGTTGATAGAAAATATAATAATAACTTAGCAGTTATTTTTAATATAAACCTATCACTATATGGATTATTAGTATTTAGTTAACTATCAACTTTAGACAAACTTAATAATAAAATCGTTTTAAACACATAATGTTATAATATGTATTATCGCATAATTCAATAAAATAATTCAAAATCTTAACGAACAGTCAATTAAGTCAAAATAGATTTAACAATTACAAATACTTATTGCGATATTTTCCTAATTAAGAGTATCTATTGTAATATATAAATTTATCAAAAGTACCTTTTTATAATAATATTTTAATTAGTAGTATCATCATAAGCAAGTAGGTAGTATATCTTAATACCGATCCGAAATACAGTAAATTCTTTTTGCCTTGCATAGGCATATCAAAGAGGCCTTTAAAAAGCTTATTTAATTCTGTGTAATGAAACGTTCCAATTTTGAAATTTGTTCTTATTTTAAACAAAATCACGTTCATTACAGTTACAAAGATTCTAATTTTAAAAAGGCAGCCTTGGTAGCCCTGTGTCACGACAAGCGATATAAATTTAAAAAGATATAAAATTAAGAGCCTGGCTCGCAGACGCCGTCTCGTTCACGATTTTTCTCATTTTTCCTCTATCTTTTATAATTTCCTTCAACCCTTTGGAGCGAAATTCATAGTCATTTAAAAAGGGGTTGCATTAAAATGGGTAAAATCTGTAAAATATATTTGATAACTGATTCCAACAAATGACCAGCACTGAAATTTTTAAGTATAGGTTTAATGATATTTACTGTTTGTTTGTATAAAAGTTTTTTATTCCAGTAAATTAAGCAGGTACGTAGTAAATAAATTTTGAATAACTTCGACTGTATGATTAATTGTGAGAAATACATGTAATTAATTAATGATATATAAACTTTTGTGTTAATTTATTTTTAGTTCTGTTTATTTTATTAATATACTTCTCATAATTAAAATCCAGATTTCCAAATATATTCCTCTTTTCAATGAATAAAAAAAAACAACAATCTTATAATAACTAAAAATAGACGCTCTAAAAATACAATGATTTTTTTTCAAGAACCGTCCAGCCTACGAATACGACTCCACTAAAACGGTGGACATTTCTTAAACCTCGTTTTTTTAACGGTATAACTCATCGTGCGGCAAGGTTTTTTGGCGGGAAACTTGGAAATTTATTTTGCAATTAGCGGTGAAACGCGGCGACATTATTAGAAAACTTCCTTAGTGCTCGTAAAAAATGTCCGATGTTTTTTCGGACACCTGCTGTCCGGAACTTTTGAATATTTAATGTTTAATTTTGCTGTATATATGATATTTACTTGGACAAAACAAATGATAAATATTGTAATAATTACAAAAAACCGATTATTTAAAAATTCAAGTTGCTTTTTTAATTTATAAAATTTTAAACAATATCCTGAAATTATAAGTGTCAAAAAGAAAAAACATTGTCTACATAAAAAAATAATCACCATTAGAATAACAAGTCAGTCATTCTGACCTCCCTCAATGGAACAGTTAACGAACTAATTAAAGAAAATTTTAAAAAAGGAAACATTTTACAGTAAAATTTTCACAAACATACACAAATTGGCGGGAAAACAGCGTCCTCTCGCCTGTCGAATAAGAGAAAAACTCGACAAAAATTAGATTTCTTCAGAGAACCTCGACTTCATATCTTTGATACTTTACAGTTTCCGTTTAAAATATAATGTGAATATTAATGTTCATCTTCTGTCTTTTGAATCTATGAAAAATATAATTTGGGATTAAGGCAGTGTTTCACATTTCACTACATTTTCCCTTGACTAAAAATTTATGTTACATAAAAATGTAATATGGAATCACTTCTTTATTTTATGTTAGAAATAACAATAGAGTTTCTCACTTCTTACAAATAAGTAAAGCTCTTTAATGAAAAGAACTAACTCGTATATGCGACAACTCCATACATTGGTTTATATAATTTACATCAAACAGTTGCGTAAAGGTAAAGTTCTGTCAAAACTGTATAAATATTTAACATTAAATTACTATAAAGATATTAATAGTAAATTGCATTAAACTACTACTTACATAACGTTAAAAAAATAAAGTAAAATATAAACATTTAATTTAAATCATCACTTCGAATAAAAATGAAGCAACAACGCAGTAAGACTCGACAAAAAAAATATTGTGACAACTATTCTCGATCAAGTATCAAGATGGTTTTTCCCCAGTACACGGGAGCTAATGGCCTGTGCTACACAGTAAAAAACCAAGTCCCGTTCAAGATAAAAATTAGCTGAAATTAAAAGATGCTAACGAACGCCATTCGGGATTCTTTCGCCCTATTTCGTCTGACTTTTAACAATAAAATACCTAGTGTTTGAGAACATTTGATTGCAAATAGTTATGTTGTTTGTATGTTGAGTTGTTATTATTTTAATTACGTAAATAATCCAATATTGTTTTTGTTGATTTTATTTAAAATTTCAACCACAAAAGTACATTATAAACATGCTTTTTATAATTCGTTTTTCAATCAGCATAGAGGAATAATTTAAATGAAACCAGTTACAAATATGTATGTAACTGTTTTTCTTATCGCCACAATTCGCAATGAAAACTATAACGAAATCGAACGCTCCTAATTCAAATATATTTTTTTTCTTATTTATATCATTTTGTTATTGTTCTATTTATAAATTCCATACGTTTTGACTTACTATTCAGCTCGTGTGTGTGTGTAATTTTACGTTTTCAGACATTTTGAATTTATAAATGATCATTAGGCTGAGATATTATTAAGTCATCAGAAACAAAAAATAAATAAATAAATTACTAGCTTTCGCCAGCGGCTTCGCTCGCTAAGGAA